GCTCCTTGGAGGCCAAGATGGCCAAACTTCATCTCTCATACTTCAGACATATTGTCAGGAGGGACCAGTCACTGGGGAAGGATATCATGCTTGGTAAGGTAGAGGGTCAGAGAAAAGGAGGAAGACCCCCAATGAGATGGACTGGCCAAGTGGCAGCATTGATGTACTCAAGCGTGGCTACTGTAGTGAGGTTGGCCCAGGATCAAGCAGTGGTTTGTTCTGCTGTGCCTAAGGTTGCTATGAGTCAGTACTGACTTGATGGCACCTAACAACAACAACAACGTCACCATAAACCAAAACTCAGTACTTCACAGTAATAACCACCTTCCTTTCTCTCCTCCTCCTGCTCCTGATAGCCACTAATAAACATTGTTTTCTTTACATTTCCCTGGTCTTGTCTTTTTATAAAAGTAAGGTCATACAATATCTGTCCTTTTGTGATTTAACATTTTACTCAGCATAATGTCTTCAAGCTCCATCCATATAGCATCCATCAAGATTTTGAAACCCTGGGGCATAGTTGTTAAGTACTCAGTTTGGTAGTTCATACCCACCAGTTGCTCCACAAGAGAAAAAAGTGGCAGTCCACTTCCGAACAGATTTACAGCCTAGAAAAGCCTATGGGTTAGTTCTACCATAGGCTAAAGCAGGGGTGAGGAATGTCTGGTCCTTGGGCCATATGTTGTTGTTAGGTGCCATCATGTCAGTACCAACTCATAGCAACCCTATGCACAACAGAACGAAACACTCCCGGTCCTGGGACAACCTCACAATTGTTGCTATGCTTGAGTTCATCGATGCTGCCACTTGGCCAATCCATCTCGTTGGGGGGTCTTCCTCTTTTTCTCTGACCCGCCACCTTACCAAACATGATATTCATCTCCAATGACTGATCCCTCCTGACAATATGTCTGGTGTATGAGACATGAAGTCTGGCCATCCTAGTCTCCAAGGAGCACTCTGGCTGCAATTCTTCTAACAACTATCTGTTGGTTCTGTTGGCAGCCCATGGCACTTTTAATATTCTCCTACAACACCATAATTCTAAAGCATCAAATCTTCTATGGTCTTCCTTATTCACTGTCATGCTTTTGCATGCATATGGGTTATTGAAAATACCATGGCTTGGGTCAGGTATACCTTAGTCTTCAAACTGACATCTTAGCTCTTCAACACTTTAAAAAGGACTTGTGCAGCAGATTTGCCTAATGGAATTACTGCTGCTTCCATGAGTGTTGACAGTTGATCCAAGAATGAAGTCACTAACAATTTCAATCTTTTCTCTATTGATAAGAAAGTTGTTTATTGGTCCAGTGGTGAGGATTTTTGTTTTCTTTACATTGAGATGCAGTCCATACTGAAGGCTGTGCTCGTTGATCTTCATCAGTAAGTATTTTAAGTCCTCTTCACTTTCAGCAAGCAAGGTTGTATCATCTGCATATCGCAGATTGTTAATGAGTCTTCTTCCAATCCTGATGCCACATTTTTCTTCATATAACACAGCTTCTCAGATTATTTGCTCAGTATACAAGCTGAGTAAGTATGGTGAAAGAATACAACCCTGTTGCACACTTTTCCTAATTTTAAACCCATGTGTTCAAATGTTCAGTGTTCCCATGTGTTTAAATGTTCAGTGTTCCCGTGTGTTTAAATGTTCAGTGTTCCCGTGTTCTAATTCAAACAACTGCCTCTTGGTCCATGTACAGATTCTTCATGAGCACAATTAAGTGTTCAGGAATATTCATACTTCGCAATGTTGTCCATAGCATGTCATGATCCACACAATCGAAAGCACAGGTAAATATCTTTCTGGTATTCTCTGCTTTCAGCCAAGATCCATCAGACATCAGCAATGATATCTCTCGTTCCACATTCTCTTCTGAATCCAGCTTGAATCTCTGGAAGTTCTCTGTCAATGTATGCTTGCAGCCGTTTCTGTATTACCTTTAGTAAAACTTTACTTGCATGGGATATCAAAGATATTGTCCGATTATTTCCACATTCTGTTAGGTCACCTCTCTTTTGAATGGGCACAAATATGGATCTTTTCCATATAAGGCCCTTAAAATTATATGGTCTGGCCCTGCCAAGGCAACCACAGTTCCAGCCACCACATTAGGGGTGAATTAAATAAATGCTTGACCAAATATAGCTGGTTAACTTTTTATTTGATAATTTTGTATGGTCCATGAATGGTGTCATAAATTTTGACAGAGAAAAGGTTCTCCAAGTCCTGGTGTGGCGCTGTGGTCTAATGCACTGGACTGCACAGTCAGTTTGACTTTAAAAACCACAGTATAGTTTTTAGCAGGCTAACTTTTTATTTGATCATTTTGTATGGTCCATGAATGGTGTCATAAATTTTGGCAGAAAAAAACTTTATATATACTGAAAAACTAAAAATTTCATGTGAGTCACGTTACTGAAATACTCCATTGCAATATTTAAAATATTAGAAGCTGTAATATCTCCAAGATATTGGCATACAAGTCTCTGTTTAAACCTCTGCTTTCACGTCTTTTGGGTACATACCTAAGAAGTAGAATTGCTGCATCATATGGTAGTTCTAATTTTTTTTTAAAGACTGCAGAGTTTTCCACAAAGGCTGTACTATTCTGCATTCCTACCAGCAAAAATATTTCTGTTAGCAGAAATATTTTTATATAAGATTAATAAATATATGCAATAAGCTATTAAGGTAGTAATGCAAAATAAGTTCTTAATATACTGTAAATGCTTGGTAGTGGTGTGCCATTCAATCAGTTCTGACTCATAGCAACCCTGTACAGGGTTTCTGAGGCTGTAAATATTTACAGGAGCAGAAAGCCTCATCTTTCTCCCACAAAACAGCTGGTAGTTTCAAACTGCTGACCTTGAGGTTAGCAGCCTGAAAATGCTTAGGGATAAAAAATATTAAACTACTAGATTTTTTTTTTTTTTCAACTGATAAGCCTGGTAAATTATAATCAAATGATGATGTCAAATAATGGCTGTCACGAACTTCCATAATCATACCTGTTGGTATCTGGATACTGGATACATCAACTTCACATCAAGTTTGGGATTGTACTGAGCAAGAGATTCATGATGATAGTGGTTAATGAGCTCCACCACAGAATTAAATGTCAGAGGATCAGAAAAGCCATATTTACCATCCCGATGATAGATCTTTATTAACTTATTATTGCCTCCCTTCCTGTGAAGAAGAAAACATAAGTTGTAGATTTTCCCAAAAAATTTCTAATAAAGAATTATTAAGTACTACTACTATGGAGACAATAAAGCTTGGTGTCACATAGTAAACAAGTTTTATTTGGGATGAAAAGGCATACATGATTATATGTACATAATATGTATCTTATTTCTTTTGTCCTTAAAATACTTGGTTTCTGAAGGTCAATATACCTTCACAGTAATTAGAGTAAAAACATTTAACATAAATAGTCACTTAAGAAAAATAATAGTATATTGAATTTTTTGTTTACTGTCTGATTAATTTCTAATTTAAATTCTATCAATATCTTTTCAAGGGGGGATGAGAATAGACACAATCTATTTAGTGCTTAAAGATATGTAGAAGTGTAGCCATGAAGGAAAGCAAAAGTCATCTCTGTATGAAGGGGGTATGATAAACATTTGTTATATAATCCCCAACACACTCAAAGTTTTATTATAAATGTATAAACATAATGAAGTAACTTGAATGACTTTTAACCAGACAATTTGTCTAGCACCACAGATTATTTTTTTATAGTTACTTATATTCTCAGAAATAAATATATTCTTAAATATAAATATAGGTCATCACAGCATTTAGATGATTCAAATGTCATTCAATTGTGTTACAAAGTATAGCTTATAAAGAACCATGTATATTATATATATTATTAGATATTGATGCTTGAATAGTTCAGAACACCTTTGTTTTCTGAACCATATCCAAATGGTCCCTTAAAAAGTCACTTATCACCAAAGCTTAAAATGACTTAACTTCTTTCAAATTCCATAAGGTATAACCTAAAACCACAGAAAATTAATTAATTATATCATAGCAAAATACTACACTAATTTCATTCAGCTCTTACTGTAATATCAGGTAGACCATTAATGAGGAAAAAAAAGAGATAGACTACCATATATCTTTTAGCCATGCTGTGGAGCTGCAGGACTATGCACTGGACTTCAGTGTCAGCTCAAACTGCAAGGTCAGTGGTCCACACCCACCAACTCTCCTAGGAAACACTATACAGGGTGGATATGAATTGGAACTGACTTGACAGCACTTAACAACAACTATGGGTGTATATACCTTCACACACATTAACATAATGCAAGCTGATCTTTCTGATAAAAAAAGCTAAAAGGGAATTAATTCAGTTAAAACACACACACACACAAAACCCTAACTTATTGAACATCTACTGTATGTCAGAAATTATATAAGATACAAGGGTAAAAGATGTAAATGTAAAAGTACAGGCTCTCAAGGAGCTTACAGTTTAGGAACATAAGGAATATATCTCTACCTTCCAGTTTATTGAAAAACATACCAAAAAACAACAAATAACCCACTACCACTGAGTCGATTTTGATTCAGCAACCCTGCAGGACTGAGTATAACTGCTTCATAAGGCTCTGAGGTTATAAATCTTTACAGGAGCAGACAGTCTCATCTTTCTCCAATACTGAAAATCACTAGGAATTGCAATTCAAGATAGAACATAAAAATAAATGACTACATACGTTAGCTGGTAATAATTCCTATGTAAAAATAAAACAGAGTAAGAGTAAAGGGAAATGATAGTTCTAAGAGTGGAAGGGATTGTTATTTTATATTTTATATATACTGCACAAGGAAAACCTCTCTGTTCAGGTGACATTTGAGCATGGTTCTAAAGAAAGTAAGGTAGCTAGCACAGCAAATACCTGGGAAAAGTATTTCAAGCAGAGGGAACATTAAGTGAAAAAATTCCTAAGGTAGAGGCGCAGTTAAGGAAGAGCAAGGAAACCAGTGATACTGACATAAGTAAAAGGGAGAAGAGTGGAAGACAAAGTTAAGAGATATAAAGGAGTTCAGCTCCCTTCCAAGACTAAAACTCAAGGGGAATACATGAGCAGGCATGCAGTCTGACTGGTGACCACGTTGTTCACCAATAAGGGGAAATGAGGGAAAACCAGCAATGAAGCTGTGAGCTAAGTCCGACCACGTTCAACAGACTCCTGTGAACCTGGGTGGAGACACTGGTTGGCCAGCAGTATTGCAAGTCCTGGGGACTCCTGGGCCCAGAGTCAATGACATAGCCACAGAGAACTAGAGTGGAGAGTGAAGTGTCCACTGCTAAGAAGTGAGGGGATATACACAAGAATACCCACACTTGCAGAGAATACCCACTTGACCTGGCTTCAATGGCTGGATAATCAGAACTCAACTAGAAGAAAGAAGAGGAAAAAAGTAATCTGATATAATTTGATGAACTTGACCTACACCTATAGATGCAGTAGCTCAAAAGAGAGAACAAATCTTTATAGCGAGGATCATTCCCACCCCCTTGGTACACAAGGTAGACGGGAACGGGCAACTTGGACATTGGCTACTGAAAAGGAGCGGGGGAGGGCCTACGAAGGCAAGAAGTGACTGGCTTACAAGCTTTCAATAGGGAGCCTAGATCCAGAGGGCACGGAGGAAGGTAGACTCTCCACTGAGCAGTATCCAATCTGTCTGGGTGGGCTGATGAAAGGAGATGGGGATAGGACTCTTGTGATAAAATAGTGAATAATTGCTATCAGGACTGACTGTGAGGGCTGGAAATGTAAAGGTAGACGTTTTGTAGCAAAAGGAGGGGAGTGGTTGACTTTGCAGTCCAGGAGCAGAGGTCCCTGGGACCATCAAGGGAAAAGAGTGGAGTGCAGGAACCTACCCAGAGAAATAGTGATGCCAGAGATGGAGGCAGAGGCAATAATGTGGAGAGGAGCGGCTGGGGGCTCTAGACCCAGAGAGGGAGAGGGGCTATGTGCTGATGACCAAGGGGAAGTCTTGAGGGGTTTACTTTTTAGTTGTTTGATGATGCTTGGAAGGGATTATAATCATGGCAATGAAACGATATACAATAGGATGAATGCAAGGCTAATGTTCTCCCATGTAAACTATCATATAATACACAATAAAAACTTGAGAAAAAAAAAAAAGGTGTTTAGATCATGTAATAACCTCTAGGACATTGTAAAGTCTTTGGCTTTTAGTGAAATGGGGAAATATCAGAGGGTTTTAAGGTGTTTAGATCATGTAGTAGCCTCTAGGACACTGGAAAGTCTTTGGCTTTTAGTGAAATGGGGAAATATCAGAGGGTTTTGAGCTTAACGACATAGCTGTCTTGCGATTTAAAGTTCATCCTGGCTGCTGTGTTAAAAACACACTATTAGGAATGGGCAGGGCTAGAAATGGGAAGATTAGTTGGAAAACTATTATAATTATCTAGGCAAGAGATGGAGTCCTGGTATGGCGCTGTAGGATAAGAACTCATCCACAAGATCAGTGGTTCAAACTTACCAGCTATTCTTTAGAAACCCTTTAATGGCGCTGTCAGTTGGGATAGACTCAATGGCACTTAACAACAACAAAAGGCAAGAGATGATAATGTCTTAGACCAGGGTAAGAACAGTAGAGGTAATGAGAAATTATGGGACTATGAATCTACTTTGACGAGTAAGTTGACAGGATATGCTGATGACTTAGATATGGATATGAGAGTAACAAGATAAAGATTTCAAGATTTCTGTCTGAAGCAATTAAAATAATGAAGAAGGCTTTATAAAAAGGACATGTTTAAAGGATGAGAAATATTTTGGTTTTCTTAGACATGTTAAGTTTAAGATGCCTTCTGAATATCCAAGAAGAAATGTAAATCCAGCAGTCTACTTAAGGAGTCTAAAGTTCAAAGGAGCAAATTCAGGTGTTGTCAGCCTATGGATATCATTTAAAGCCATAGATTACCCAGGAAGATCAGCAAAGCTGGAGAACAGAATCCCAAGATATAAATGCTGGAGTATACTCAACTCTGGAAGGGATATTCCAGAACACTTAATTGTGCTGCTCATGAGGAACCTGTACACAGACCAAGAGGCAGTCATTCAAACAGCACAAGGGGACACTGAATGGTTTAAAATCAGGAAAGGTGTGTATTCTTTCACCATACTTATTCACTCTGTATACTGAGCAAATAATCTGAGAAACTGGATATATGACATAGAACATGGCATCAGGATTGGAGGAAGACTCATTAGCAACCTGTGATATGCAAAAGATACAACCTTGCTTGCAGAAAGCAAAGAGGACTTAAAATACTTACTGATGAAGATCCAAGACCATAATCTTCAGTATGGGTTGCAATTCAATGCAAAGAAAACAAAAATTCTCACCACTGGACCGGAAAATAACAGTATGATAAATGGAGAAAAGATTGAAGTTGTGAAATACTTCATTTTGCTTGGATCCACAATCAACACTCATGGAAGCAATAGTCAAGAAATCAAATGATGTATTGCATTAGGTAAATCTGCTGCACAAGACCTCTCCCTAAAGTGCTAAAAAGCAAAGATGTCAGTTTGTGGACTAAGGTGCAGGTGATCCAAGTCATGGTATTTTCAGTACCTCATATGTATGTGAAAGTTGGACAATGAATAATGAAGACCATAGCAGAATTGATGCATTTGAGTTATGGTGTTGGAGGAGAATATTAAAGTACCACGGACTGCCAAAAGAACAAATAAATCTGTGTTGGAAGAAGTACAAACAGAATGTTCCTTAAAAACCAGGATGGCCAGACTTCGTCCTCATACTTCAGACATATAAAAACACCATGGCTTGGATCAGGTGCACCTTAGTCCTCAAGCTGACATCTTTGTTCTTCAACACTTTGTGTAGCAGATTTGCCTAATGCGATACATTGTCTGATTTCCTGACTGCCGCTTCCTTGAGTGTTGATAGTTGATCCAAGAAGAATGAAGTCCTTGACAACTTCAATCTTTTCTCCATTGATAGAATGTTGTTTATTGGTCCTGTGATGAGGAATTCATATATTATGCACTCAGTAAATATTTGAATAAATGAAGGAATGAGAGAAAGACAAAGAGAAGGTTTCTCAGAGGAAAGGATAGTTGGACTTGTTCTAATTGACTAAATCTGTGGAAAAGCTCCATATCAATTTGATTTCTGTGTATTCCATTTGATGAGGTCCATGTATATGGTTGTCTTTTATGTTGTGTTAAAAAGGTATTTGTAATGATGAAGTTATTGGTCTTGTAAAATTATATCGACTATCTCCAGCATTGTTTCTATCACCAAGGTTGTATTTTCCAGCTACTGATTCGTCCTCTTGGTTTCCATTCTTTGCATTCCAAACACTTCAGTGCATATTTGATCAATTTCAGACTGAAGAAGTTTGCAGAATTTTTCAATTTTGTCATCACTGGCTTTAGTTTTTGGTGCATAAATTTGAATAATAGTGGTATTAACTGGTCTTCCTTGTAGGCCTATTGGTGTTATCCTACTGCAGACAGCTTTATACTTCAAGATAGATCTTGAAATGTTCTTTTTGATTATGAATGCTAAGTTATTCCTCTTGAATCTGTTGTTCTCAGCATAGTAAACCATATAATGCTCTGATTCAAAATGGCCAATACCAATCCACTTCAGTTATTAATGCCTAGGATATTGATCTTTATGTGTTCCATCTCATTTTGGCAACTTCCAGTTTTCCCAGATTCATATTTCATACATACCATGTTCCTATTATTAATGGATATCTGTAGCTGTTTTGCCTCATTTTGAGTTGTGTTTATCAGCAAATGAAAGTCCAAAAAGCTTTACTCCATTACCATCATCATGGTCAACTCTTTTGAGCGGGAGCTCTTCCCCAATCATAATTTAATTGCCTTTCAACCTGAGGGACTCATTTTCTGACACTGTATCTGGAAATATTCTGGTGCTATTCATAATCTTTCAATATTTAATATTCTGGTGCTATCTGACATGTTCCTTGCACTTCTATTCATAAAGGTTTCATTGGGTAAACATTCAAAAGCCATCCACTTCTCCTTCCTAGTCTAAGTCTGGAAGCTCAGGTGAAACCTGCTCTCCTTGTGTTACCCTGCTGGTATTTAAAATACCAGTGGCATAGCTTCCAGCATCATAGCAACATGTACACCACCATAGTATAACAAACTGATAGACGAGGACCCATTAAATCTTTCTCAACTCTCTGTGTATGTTTTTCCCTCTTCCTGAAACAGTTTTTTGGTTGGCTCCTTTTAATCATTCAAATATTAAAGGTCATCTCATCAGAAAGGCCATCCTTCAAAATTATCTTAAATTTACCTTTCCCCATATGTCTATCATATGTTGTTGTTGTTACGTGTCATCGAGTTGGTTCCACCTTATAGTGACCCTGTAAAGGGTTTCTGAGACTTAAGTCTTCTCAGGAGCAGAAAGCCTCATCTTTCTCCCAAGGAGTGAGATCAAACCATGGACCTTGGGGTTCACAGTCCAGTGTTTATTCTAGGAGCCACCACGCTATCATATCTATAATATAAACCTACATATATCCTTCATAGTATTTCATTAACTCTGATGTTATCTCATTTTAAAAACAATTTATTTTACCTTCTCTCCTTTATGCACCAAAATATAGATACTATAGGGCAGAGACCATATCTATCTTGTTTGTCTTTATTTCCTTTGCCTAGAAAAGTACCTGAAATATTACAGGCAGTCAATAAATATAAACCCTATTCTGAACTACCATTATCTCTCAATTTCATAATAGCCTTCAAATTCTTTTCCAGTATCCTTTTTTTTTTTTTTGAGTCCTGGTGTGACATTGTAGAATAAGCAGTGGACTGCTAACCACAAAGTTGGCAGTTCAAACCCACCAGTGACTCCTTGGAAACCCTAACAGAGTCGCTATGAGTTGGAACCAATTCAATTGCACTTATTAGCAATTTTTTTTTACTTGGATTCATAATCAATGCTCATGGAAGTAGCTATTAAAAAATCAAACCACATATGCATGTGAAATCTGGACAATGAGTAAGAAAAACCAGAGGACTGATGCCGTTGAATTATAGTGCTTGTAGAGAATAGTGAACATACCATGGACTGCCATAAGAATGAATAAATCTGTCTTAGAAGAAGCACAACCAAAATGTTCTTTAGAAACAAAGATGGCATGACTCATGTATTTTGGACATGTCATCAGGAGGAACCAGTTCTTGGAAAAGACATCATGCTTGGTAAAGTAGTAGGTCAGAAAAAAAGAGGAAGACCCTCAACAAGATGAATAGTGGCTGCAACAGTGGGCTCACACATAGCAAAGATTTTGAGGATGGCACAAGACTGGGCAGTGTTTTTTGTAAATCACTGGGCAGTGTACATAGATTTACTGAGTCAGAGCTGACTCAACAACATCTAGAACGAACTTCCTCTTTTAAATTATCTGCTCATAGCATGATCACATAATTTCTTTAATGAAAAATGCAGTGATTCCACCTGACTAGCTTCAATATTAAATATAAACTCTAAATTTCAGAATTCAAGGCTCTCTTCAAAATGCCCCTTGTCCAATCCAATCTTGTATTCCCAACCACTTTCATCTCTTTACAAACTTTACCCTCAATCAAATAGGACTGTATTTCACAGAACATTATTCTATAATTTTCTGCTTCCGTTGTTCTAGGTGTTCCAGGCTGGTCTGCTTGTCCTGCCTTAGTCTTTTAATACAGGGATTGCAGTGAACACTTAATTGACACCTTCACACTCTATCCCTCACCCAAATATTTCTGATCCATGGTTGGGTGAATCTATGGATGCACAACTTTCAGGTATGGCCAACTGTATATGTAAATATTGAATATATACACTAAGAAAATTAGCCAAACAACTGAAAATTATGGGGCAGTAGGATAAGCACTGGACTGCAGGTCATTTGAACCACAAGGCTGGCAGTTCAAAATCACCAGACTTAGAAACCCTATACAGGATCACTATGAGTCAGACTGACTCGACAACACTTAACAACAACATGTATGTATGTATATGTAAAAGTTTAAATAAAATACAGAATTCTCTACATACCCAGAACTACAATAATGCTAGTAGGACTGTAGTCCAAAGACTGAAAAGTACTCACCGCAAAGTTAAAGTATAATCTCCCTGCATTTTTGTTGAGGCATCTCGAACCAAGAAGGTACCATCTGGCATGTCCCGTAATTTGTCATTTACTTCCTCCCTGAAGAGCAAAATTATTGGAAAATAAAAATTCAAAAACATTAGTTCTCTTCATCTTTTTTCACTAAGGCTAGTACGGAGGTGAGTGTATCTAGGTTATAAAATCATGGGTTCCTTCAGTGTTAATTTAGTTCCTCCCACTAGTTATGTTATTTCTGTTTTCATTTTTCATGTTAAAAATAGTACTAAGGAAGGACTATTTGCAGTTTAAATTCTTCCAGATTTCAATTGTTTGTAAGGGATAATGTTTCCAATAAGTCTTTAGGGCTTCTTTAGGCAGGTCTGAACATGTAGAGTTTCAGGAAAAAATCAGTAGCTTTTTAAAAAGAAGGTTATATTTAAGTGACACTGACAGCTGTATCTGATCAAATATACAATTGGATAGTAGTGTATATATCTAAAAGTATAATAACCATTCAATAGTATAGTCTCCAATTTGAATTTATAGTAATAATAAAATCCTTCTGAATAGTTGGTTTATGCCTTTAAGAAACAACTCTAGAATATGCACAGCAACTTCAAGGGCATACAATAACCTTGAATTACAGTAGAACTACATGGTCTTAAAATACAAATTTAAATGGCATTTAAATGTAATAGATTCTTTTATTCTACAGTAGTAAAACTGCAATCTTCTGAACAATTTTAATACAGTGAAACCTGTGAGTACCAAACTCAATAGGACTACCTTTTTTTCTTTTCACAAGTTTTTGCCTTTGACAGGCTACAATCTTACCACTTTCTATCCCTCTATTTGTAGAGATTATCTGAGTTCCCCTTCTCTGGTAGGTTTCTGCTTTTTGCAAATGTTAGTGTATAAAATATGTTAAGACCCTCCTCTCTAAGGTCAAAGTGATCCCAACAGCATTTTACCAAAAAAAAAAAAAAAAAAACCCACCAAAAAAAATCTGTCCTGAGTCCTATTTCTCAAAGTTAGACCTGTGAAGAATTTGCATCAAAATAATCTGGGGAAATTTCTAAAATGCAGATTCCTGGGTCCTGTCCACCTCACTTTTGATTTTTATGTATGCAAAGATCTGGGAACCATTGTCTTAGAGAAAGAAAAATGAGGAAAAATAAGTACCTCTAAGTATCTTTTATTCCAAAACATATATAATAATCCTGAATGTGTTATTAAGTGCCACTGAGTCCATTCCACTCATAGCAACCATGGGTAGGGCTTTCAAGGAGCGGCAGGTGGTATAGTGGGTTATGAATTGGGCTGCAAATGGCAAGGTCAGCAGTTCAAATATACCAGCAGCTTCACATGAGAAAGATGAAGCTTTCTGCTCCAGTAAAGAAAAACAGCCTCGGAAATTCTATACAGGACAGGGTTGCTATGAGTCAGAACTGACTTCACCACACACAACCACCACCGCCATCACCACCACTGATTCACAAAGAAAATAAAAAGCTGCATTTTTTCTTGTTACCTTGAAATATCCCCCCAGTACCATTCTGCATCCTGAAGGGTGGAAGCAGAACTGTCCTTCATTCCATTTGTAACTGCGGAAGTCATTGGCTTAAGAGGCTTTGGCGGAAGAGCTAAAAGAGAAATGAATATTATTTTATAAATATAAATTATTTGTTTTCTAATTTCCTCAGTTAGAAACAGGTCATTAACTAAGCACATTAAGTTTCAAATAATTATCAATCAAAATAGTGGCAATATAAACATTAGCCAAGGAATGTTAAAAGTCTAGCAATAATTCCTGAGAACTGAATATTTCAAGCTACTTGTTTTTTTTCCTTCATATAAAGTACTGGTTTTTAATTCTGAACTGATGTCAATTTTTTTTTTTTCATTGTTTCTCAAAAGACAAAATGAAGCCCCTTCCCAATAAGTCAGTCCAAAAGACATTAAATAAGACTGGGCAATGTATGAGTGTAGCTGTTAATCCTCTTGAGCTCCAACACCCCATACTGGGTGTTGGAGCTCAAGAGGATTAAGGAGGATAATAAGAGGTACAGGAAGAATGTTACAGATTTAACTGTGTTCCCCAAAACGTACATTGTAAGTCCTAACACTGTGGATAAGGAACTCTCTGGTGGTACTGTAGGGTAAACTGCAATGTCAGTAGTTAAAAAAACCAGCTGTTCCATAGGAGAAATATGAGGCTTTCTCTGTTCCTTGCTGATAGGGCAAAACTCAAACTGAAGAGAAACAGCTGTAAACATCCATTAATAATCAGAACATGGATGCACAAAGTACGAATCTAGGAAAATTGAAAATTGTCAAAGGTGAAATGGAACACATAAAGATTGATATATTAGGCATTAGTGGGCTAAAATGAGCAGGTATTGACAATTTTGATTTTGACATTCACATGGTTTACTATGCCTGTAATGACAAACTGAGGAGCAATGGTGTCACATTCGTCTTCAAAAAGAACACATCAAGAGCTGTCTTTATTAAGTACAACACTGTCTGTGATAGGATAATATCCATATGCCTACAAGGAAGACCAGTTAATGTCACTATTATTCAAATTACACACCAACCACTAATTATATTCAAATTACAAAGCCAGTGATGATGAAATTAAAGAATTCTACAAAATTCTTCAATCCGAAATTGATCAAACATGCATTAATAATTACTAATGATTGGAATACAAAAGTTGGAAACAAAGAGGAAGAATCAGTAGTTGGAAAACAAGGTCTTGGTAATAGAAATTATGCTGGAGCTCACATGGTAGAATTTTTTTTTTTTTTTAAAACCTTCCCTCTGTCAAACCCTGAGCCAATTACTTTCCCCAGGCTGCCTGGGGAGGTACAAGAAAAGGAATATGTAGGGCAGACGAGACACGGAAAAAAAGAACTTGGGAAATGGAGACAACTCCTTCACATGGCAAAGATGAGAAAGGCCACCATCAGACAAAAAGAGCCCCATGGCTTCCGAGAGGGCAAAGCCCAGAATGGCGTAGGAGAAGAGCTGCTGCTTCAGAGAAGGGTTCCTGGCATAACCAATGATAAGGCTCCCAAACACAGTCCCAATCTCAGCTCCAGAGCCAGCCACTCCAACTGTGGCAGCCCCAGCCCCGATGAACTTGGCTGCTGTGTCAATGTCCCTTGAAATCATGTTGGTTTGGAAACTTCAACTAGAAGTAAGTGAGGTCAGGGAACGTGGGGCTGTCAAGATGCTGGAGTGCTTATCTGTCAGTGTCTGGGTTGTTTCAGTACCACTGCAGACAATGGTTGGTTCAGAAGCTGAGAAGTGCTCCTGACCAGGGAAGGGGCGCAGACGAATTTGGTGCAGGTGAACATTTTCAGGGGATGAGGGGCTGTGGCAGGAAAGCTGCTCCAAGTGCAGAGAAGACAGAGAGGGGCATGGTAGAATTTTGCAGGATCAATGACTTCTTCCTTGCAAATACTTTTATTTAAACAATATATAAAAGGTGACTATCCATATGGACCTCACCAGATGGAATACACAGAAATCAAATTGACTACATCTGTGCAAAGAGGTGGTGGGAAAAATCCCTATCATCAGCCAAAACAAGGCCAGACTTGGAACAGACTATCAATTGCTCATATGCAAATTGCAAGTGAAGCTGAAGAAAATAAAAACAAGTCCACAAGAGCCAAAATATGACTTTGAACATATCCCACCTGAATTTAGAGATCATCTGAAGAGCAAACTTGATGCATTAAACACTAAAGACTGAAGACCAGAAGACTGGTGGGATGACATCACGGACATCATACAAGAAAATGCAAAAGGTCATTAAGAGGACAAAAAAGGAACACACCAAAATGGATGTCAGAAGAGACTCTGAAACTTGCTCTCCAGTGTTGTTGTTGTTGTTGTTAAGTGCCGTTGAGTCAGTTCTGACCCATAGCGACCCTGTACAGGGTTCCGAGGCTATAAATCTTTACGGGAGCAGAAAGCCTCATCTTTCTCCCGCGGAGCGGCTGGTAGTTTCTAACTGCTGACCTTGTGGTTCGCAGCCCGATTCGTAACCACTACGCTACCAGAGCTCCTTAGTGTAGAGATGATAAAACAAATCAAAGAAAGGAGGAGATAAAAAGCTGAATAAAAAAATTCAAAAGGCAGCTTGAGAAGACTAAGAATGAGTTGGAAAACCAAAAGGGAAGAACACATTCAACATTTCTCAAGCTATGGGAACTAAAGAAAAAATTCAAGCCTTGACTTGAAATGTTGAAGGATTCTATGGCCAAAGTGTTGAAAAATGCAGATGGCATCGAGAGAAGATGAGAGGAATACATAGAGTCACTGTACCAAAAAGGCATGGTTGATGTTCAACTATATCAAGAGGAGGTAGTATATGATCAAGAGCCAAGGATACTGAAGGTTGAAGACCAAGGTGCACTGAATACATTGGCAAGGAACAAGGTACTGGAAATTGATGGAATACAAATTGAAATCTTTCAACAAACCGATGCAGCACTGGAGGGACTCACTCATCTATGCCAAGAAATTTTGGAGGACAACGAACTGGCCAACTGACTAGAAGGGATCCGTATTTGTGCCTACCCCAAAAAGAGGTGACCCAACAGAATGTAGAAATCATTGGAAAATATCATTAATAGCATGCAAGTAAAATTTTGCTAAAGGTAATTTAAAAATGGCTACAACCATACATTGATAGAGAATTTCCAGAGGCTCAAGAGGACATAGAACAAAGGTTATCACTGCTGATATCCAATGGATCTTGGCTAAAAGCAGAGAGGACCAGAAAGATGATTACCTGTGCTTTACTAAGAAAAGGCTTTTGACTGTGTGGATCATAACAAGCAATGAACAACATTGCAAAGTATGAGTATTTCAGAACACTTAATTGTGTTCATGAGGAACCTGCACAGAAACCAAGAGACAGCTGTTCAAACAGAACAAGGGAACACCAAATGGTTTAAAATTAGGAAAGGTGTGTGTCAGGGTTATATTCTTTCACGATACTTAGTCAATCTCTATGCTGAGCAAATAACCTGAGAAGCTGGATTATATGAATAAAAACGTGGCATCAGGATTGGAGGAAGACTCATTAACAAACTGTGACATGCAGATGACACAACCTTGTTTGCTGAAAATGAAGAGGACTTGAAATACTTACTGATGAAGATCAAAGACCACAGTCTTTGGTATGGGTTGCATTTCAATTAAAGAAAGCAAATATCCTCACCACTGAACCAATAAATAGCATCATAATCAATGGACAAAAGATTTAAGGTGTCAAAGACTTGATTTTGCTTGGATCAACCATCAACACTCATGGAAGTAGCAGTCAAGAAATCAAATGTACTGCATTAAGCAAATCTGCTGCACAAGATCTCTTTAAAAGTGTTGACGAGCAGCAACACCAGAACACCAGAGATGGAGGCAGAAATGAAGACATGGAGAGAGGGAGCAGCTGACTCTGGACTCATGGAACGAGAGGGACTGGGTGCTGGCAGCCAGGAGGCAGGCTTGCAGAATGCGCCCTTTGGTTGTTTAAAGTATTATATATTCCTGAGTGTTTGTGTGTACATCACCCCCCACCCCACCCCCCCCAAAAAAAAACCCAGAGGGAATGGAAGCAAATATTGTTGAATGAAGATACACAGAGACTGTAATCATTGCAATGAAATGATGGTGTAAAGTCGATGTTCTCTCATGTAAACCATCACTCAGTTCACAATAAAAACTTAAAAAAAAAAAGTGTTGAAGAGCAAAGATGTCAGTTTGAGGACTAAGGTGCACCTGATTTAAGCCATAGTATTTTCAATAACCTCATATGCATGTGAAAGTTGCAAAGTGAATAAGGAAGACCATAGAAGAACTGATGCATTTGTGTTACGGTTTTGTAGGAGAATATTGAAAGTGCCATGGGCTGCCAAAAGAACCAACAGATCTGTGTTGGAAGAAGTGCAGCCAGAGTGCTCCTTGAAAGCCAGGATGGCCAAACTTCGTCTCTATACTTCAGACATATTGTCAGGAGGGACCAGTCCCTGGAGAAGGATGTATGTTTGGTAAAGTGGAGGGTTGGGGAAAAAGAGGAAGACCCCCAATGAGATGGACTGGCATGGTGGCGACAACAATGGGTTCAGGCGTAGCAATGATTGTGAGGTTATACGAAGACCAGGCAGTGTTTCCTTCTGTTATGCACAGGGTAGCTATGAGTAGGTACCAACTTGATGGCAACTAACAACAACAGCAACACATGCCTTCTCTGGTGTGGCACTGTGGGTTAATGCGTTGGACTGCAATGCTTGTTTGAACTACAAGGTAGGTTCAAGCTCAACAAAGTCACCCCTCAGAAAGCCTATACAGGGTCGTTATGAGTCAGAACCAACTCAACGGCACTTACCAACAACATATACCTTTTTCCGGAGGAAATCTAAACTGAGTGGAGTTCACTAGGTTATATGGCAAAGCTGCCATCTAGGGATAATGATAGTTCACTGACAATTCTGCCACTAATGAACACAAAATGACCATTTCACATCTATTACAGAGGACTGCCCACAGCCATCTTGTATCTTGCTTTTCTCATCTGAAGAAATGTAAAGAATTATTACAAAAAAGTTCCTACATAACATTGTTT